CATCATCTAACGTGAGATCATTATTGATTGACATATCCCACGTGATATTTGGAGTTGCAATTTCTTCCGTTGACAATGTATTCAATTTTTTCAACTGAGTATAATTCAAAAACTTTTGAAATAGATGCAGATTTTGAAAAGGAGTTAGAGGAAAAAAAATCTAGAAAATTCAAAGTGTAAAGAATTGATAAAAAAAGCATAGAATCCAGAAAGCTAAAAATATTAAAAAATGAGTAGTCAAAAGGAAGCTTTGATATGATAAGTTCATAGAATGTCTATCAAATAAAAACTGATTTACTTGATATCTATGGCTATTGAATTTATGATCATCAAATATATCTGAAGAGGATAAGTAAAATAAGATTAAACCTATATAATAACAAGAACTAGATCTTACTTGATAGAATTCGAACTCTCCCATATGAACATTGGTGAATTGGATTATATAAACACCTAGTGACATCTGAAATAGCTTCTGAGGAAGCAGAAGAAAAGGTTATGAAAGCTAAACTTCATGTCAAAAAAATAGATGCTTTATAATAAATATTTTTTCAGGTAATAATACTACAATAATAAATAAAGAATATATTTTTATTAATAAAGTTTTTTATTGCTATAATAGAAACATACAAAATGGGTGATCAATTAGGATATAGAATTTGCGCAAGTCAAAGTCATAAAAACTGCATTGCGAAAGGATAAAAAATATGATAATCTTGCAAATAACTATGGAAATTATCTAAAGAAATTGCGAGCTGAAAAGAATCTAAATTAAGACAATCGTAGTCAAGATTTTTCCTAACGAAGAGGCATACACTTTAAGGCTAGAAAAATATCGCAAAAGGTATATAGTAATGACCTGTATGCCAACTTAGGGAATTATATGAGCTTTATTATTATAGCTAATGAGGGAAATCGTGAAAGGTCAGATGAAAAAATAGAAATATGCTCAAAGTGATGGCAATTTAATATGTTAGATTTATCTAGTGCAGTAGATTCCTGCAATTTTATTTTGGCTATATTATCACTGTATAAAATGGCAAGTATTCATTAAGCAGATAATATATTTCCCGAATAATAGAATCAGAAGTCAATTATTCGAATGCTTTCAAAGCAAATTTATGCATTGAAAAAAAGAATAGATGATCTTTGTTACCGACTAGAGAAGTATGAAGGGTCTCAGAAGGACCAAGCAGGCTTAATATAAAAGATCATATAAATCTCGAATTAACAAAATATCATTTCATTTAAAAAATATATCAGGGTTCAGCTGTATTATAGGCCTGAATGTTATTATTTAATTGCTGAAATAATACAAAAAGTTTGTAAAAAGTCTGGATATGAGTGGAAGTCAAAGATTGGCTAAATAAACAAGCCTCCCCCGAAGTTTATTAGCCGAAGGTCCGGTATTATCAATAATTAGATTTATTCTATTCCAAAGCGATGGCAATCTAACTGACGTGCCATTTTAATAAAAAGATAACAGATTTTTATTCATATTACTCTGCAGGTAAATTTGTCGCTAACACAAAGAGTACGTGAGCACACATATATGATAGAGGAACCAGTTTTAATAACTGTCAGAAATATAAAGGAGAATTGCATCCCTTAGTGCCATTAGTTCGTTTATAAGTTAGTTAGGATAAAGGTGGACGTAGAAAATAGCGACATTATGTAACGCAATTAGTTGCCCATTTCTGGCACGCATAAATATTGGAAAAAATTAATATGGAGTAGTGGGAAGCAACTTTCAATATACTTTAGTTCTTTACAGTGTATTAGTTAAAACCAAAAATTATTAATAAATGAATATTATAGCGATAAAATTTATCTTTTTTCATTTATTAGTTTATTTCTGTCCTTAAACAATGATACATAGTTGTGAAACTGTGTAGAGAAAAAAAAGCAAAAGCAAAAATTCCTATAACTATTTTAAAATGTTTCGAACCATGTCTAATATTCCAAATTCACAACCACATTTTAAAGTACATATGGTTCAGTTCCGGTACATCGTACGGGAAAAAATCTAATTTTTGTCTTTTAGCATCTGGGATTTGACGATAAAACTCTTTTTCCCCAGAAATTGGTAATATTTTTGGTAAAAGTAAACATGGCTCGTGATGATAATAAACAGGGCCAAATTTTTTTTTCAAAACCATCTTTTGAAATAATTAGAACACTTGATTTTTGTTAGTGAAAATGATTGTCATGGTTCGTAATTTTCATGAAGATCAGATCAGATTATTCTTGACTTAGTCTATTGTGAAGAAACTGGTATCATCAGTTTCTATAACAAAGAATATATTTGCAAATTTAGCAGATTTACCATTAAGAACTACGACGTCCCGATTCTTCCAGTCAATTTGTTTATTACGTTTGATTGTCAACTTCATATTTGCTGGAAATTGCTCGTTCGCCTCACAAACACGGAGCGATTTCAATTTCACAACAAAATTCAAGTCAGAATCCGTCCCACAGGCATCAGGATATAATTCCCGGAAAGAAACCTTTTCATATCCCATTATAATTGCTAGATTAGTACATGATGTGCTACAAATACTTCATTGGCATATTGATCAAGTACTAATTGCTCTCCTTACGAAATTATCGAAAAAAACGGTTCATAGATCACATGTGAATCTAAGACGCAGTAAATTACCAAAAATAAATTAGATTGTAACACGTATGATGTCGTTAAATTTTTGTGGGGAAATTTAGCCATCTCATCAGAACACAAAATCAGCCAACCAACTCATATGACCCACAATTAGTGAATAAATTGCTTTCTTTAAATTTTTCCTTTTTTTTTTTTTTTTTTTTTTCGACCGTTAAAAAACTAAAAATATGAATAACGATAATGAAAATGTACCATTATTACGAGATGAGCGAGATGATCAAGTTGGCTCGACAAGTTCATCAAATGTCTATGATGGATCAAATGTATATCCTTCTGATAGTCAACAAAGGAAAATATTCCGGAGACCAAAGAGTTATTCATTTACTGATGATGATAAGAGTTTAAAAAAACGAACAGGTCATCAAAATTATTCGTCCATACCTTCTGGTTCGGCGGTTGTTACCGAACATGATGAAGTTTGGGTGAAAAATCAAAAGGAATTCATATCAAGGTCTGGTGAAAAGGCTAGCATGAGAAAAAGGATAGCGTTTCTATGTGACACTTCGAGAATTGGAAGGATTTGGGAACTTTTCGATTCCATATTGTCCGCGATGTTTGTTCTCTTGTATATCTGGGTTAGTATCACCAATTAACTTTTGTGGCGCAGCAATATTTATTAATTTTTTTATTATTTATAATTTAGAATACACGATATGTCAAGATTGATGATAGCGAAGAGGCGTTTCCCTACATTCTTCAGACAGCTGATTTTGTTCTCGCTACCATCATATTTGTCCAATACGTTCCACGTGTTTGGTTAGACAAAGAGCCTTTAACTTTTATTTTTGCAAACTCCTTTTCAATTTTAACATGGTTTTCGGTATCCCCGGTCATTGCGGCATTTTTCTTAACTATCTTTGATGATGTCATGGATAATACATATATGGGTGCCGGAAATTTGGTATGCATGTATCTGCGCCACCATATTCCTTACGTGTTTAGGAATTAAAAATGAAACTTGGGCAAACTGAAGCTTTCTTTAACTTTGCTTTCAAGATTTATATATATCCTGTTCGTTTTATAAGACTCCATTGGGCAGTGCAAATGGTTTTCGCGCCTGTAAAGAGCTCACTTTTTCAATGCTCAAAGATTATGAGGAAAGGATTGAGACTTGGTAAATTTTACCATTGTGAACTTTTTTTTAATGCACTACGTCATACTCAGTTTTTTTTTTTTTTACCGTGAACTTAAATAGTCACAACAATTTTGTTTACTTTTCTCACGCTTACTGCTTTCATTCACTTGGTTACCTTTAAGCAATCTGACAAGCAAGATCCTGACCATCCTTATATAGAAAGTATTTCTTTTAGTGACGCGTTTTACTTTACCGTTCGTACGTAATTCACAAGTTCAATATTTGTATCTTAAAAAAAAAAAAATTTTTTTTTTGGTTTTAACCTAATTTTATTTTCTATTTTTCTTTTATAGTCAGCAGGTAAGCTACTTAAATATGTAAATTTTGACAATTTTTTTTTTTCCTAAAAAAAAAAATTTCTCATTCCTCACAGTACAAATGGAATGTCAACGGACATAGTCCCAGATAGTACTTTTACACGTGCTGTTATCTTATATGTCATGGTTGCAGGAGCCTTATTCATCCCAACAGCTTTATCCGAGCTTCTTACTTTGATACAAGAAAAATCTAAATATGATCATTCGTATAAAGGCGAAAAATATAACGAGCATATTATCGTTACTGGTGATTTCGACGCAACAAGCTTGTTTGAATTTTTACGAGAATTCTTTTGTCTAGATCATGGTTTGGCTACTATGAATACATATGTTGTGATCATGCATCCGGATGAGGTTTGTTTCGACGGTAAATTATTGGATTCATTAGACACTCTCGTAACTTTTTTTTTTTTTAAAAAAAAAAAAAGCCAGATGAGGAGATTGTCGAATTTCTTGAAGATCCGGCATTTATAAGTAGAGTTCAATATATTAAAGGGTATATAAAAACTGTAATTTATAAACGCATCAATATTCGATTAATTACTATATTAAGTTTTTTTTTTTTTATTAAGAACACCTACTTGGCGTCGTAGCCTTGAAAAAATTCGTACTGATACTGCAAGTGCAGCTTTCCTTTTAACTAAAAAATTTTCTGATGAAACTGATGAGATGGATGCTTCTCAAATAATGAGAGCCTTGGTATGTGAAATTTAACTCGGAGGCAAAAACTTGCATATTTGATCTATTTGATAATTATATTCAAAAATCAGGCGATTAAAAAATACAATCGAAAATTAGCCCTATATGCTCAAGTTCATTTACCGGAAAATGTTCCACACTTTGATTTCTTGGGTAATTATTGTGATATTTCCCTATTTGTGTTATATATTATAAATTCTAATTTCAATCCTTAATAGCGAAAGATATAATTTGTATCGATGAAATTACAATGGGATTAATGGCTCAAAGCTTAGCCACGCCGGGATTTGCCTCACTCATCGTATTACTTACAACATCAATCACTGACAAAACTGTTCGTAATTTAACCTCTAGTGCAAGCAAGAAGCCAAGTATATTTTAATTTAATATTAATTAGTTATTATTTATATTAAATTTTGTTTCTGATAATCCAATAAATCTTATTATCAAATGTCATTATTTTAAGGTTTAGGTTGGATAAAAGAATACATCCACGGTTTAAAGCATGAAATTTACGCCGTCACCTTTTCTGATGCCTTTGTTGGATATACATTTTTGGAATGTTCTGAACTCATTTATTCGCGTCTCGGTGCAGTATTATTTTCCATTGGGGTATATAAACTGACAAAGGGTTGCTTCACAGACGCTCAACTTGGAAGTAATACATCCCCATTCCAAATATTCTTGAATCCACAGGATTATATGATTAAGGGGAATGAAATTGGATTTGTAATTAGTGATTGTGCTGAAATAACGGCTAAAATGGCAAAGTTTAATGAACGAGCAAGACATTGGTACGACCCATATAAAAGTGTATCATTTCTCGCGAAATCTGCACATAATATATTAGGTATAGATAGTAATCGTTCAGCCAATGTAGATGCCTCGAAGTTCAAACTAGATGCTAATAAGAATATAGAAGACGATGAATATTCAACATCAAAGTCACCAAGACGCAAAGTTCCTATATCTCTGCGTCGTACAAATTCTTTCACAAAGGTTGAGGTCGATGGTGTTGAGAGTGTTGCTGAAGAGCATGAAACTACAATCACTCCACTTATTCCGTTGTCTAATTCAAAGTCAAATGCTGAAATTTTACGCCAAAATATAGAGAGAGTAGCAGCAATTTGTATGGATTCTGAAGAACCCATTTTTAAAAGTATCAAAGATCATATTATTATATGCGATCAAAGTAAAGAGTTCCCGGAAAATTTAGATATTTTTATTTCCGTTTTGCGAGAAAAAAATTCATTATGTCGTAATACGCCAGTGGTTATTCTATGTAATAGTGAACCAAATGAATCAAATAAACGTATTTTAGAAAAGTACGGCCAAGTTTATTTTGTTCGAGGATCACCACTTCGTAGAAAAGATCTTTTTCGAGCTAGAGTTAATTACGCAAAAAAATGTGTTATTTTGAGTGATGCAACACGGTGTGAAGAAAAGTAAGTTATACCATACCTGAAATAATCTTTTGTCGAAATTTTGATTATTAATCATTTATGATTATTTTATTTCTTAAATATATGAAGATTATATGGAACTGCAGATGCTGCGTCGATTATGATTGCATTAAATATCGAATCTTTGTCCAACGATTGTTATGTTCTTGTCGAATGTATATATCGCGAAACCTTTAAAATGATTGGTGAAAGTGATTCCGTTAAGAACAAGGAGGAAGAATTTAGTAAGTAACTTAAGAAAAACTTTATTATAATAATAATATTTTACAGATATTAATATATATTTATTTTTTAAATTGTAGTCCAAGCACTTATGCGACCTTCGTTTATGGCAGGAAATGTTTTCACGCCATGTAACTTGGATACGATACTTTGTCAATGGTAATATATTTCAACTCAATATAATTGATTTTAATTAATTTAATTTTGACATAGGAAATGTTTATTTATCTTCTTTTTTCATAGCTTCTACAATCGTCACATCCCTGTTATAATGAAATGTCTAATTTTCAGTCACGAGTCGGACGACGAAATGATGTCACCAAAGATCGAACGACAAAAAACCAATGAATGGCGCGACTTAGGAATCGTTTCGGGACACATGTTTCATACTAATGTACCACCACTTTATATTGGTAAGTTATTATTATTATTATTGTTAATATAAAATTTCTATTTGATTATTTTATTAAGCTTTTATTTTTTTTTAAAAAAAAAAAAAAAAATTGGAAACAGGTCAGACATATAATGCTTTATATTGTCATTTAATCCGAGCTCATAAAGCAATTTCATTAGGACTTTATCGTACTGTGACACACAAAGGTGGACCACATCAATATGTTTTTGTAAATCCAAGAAGGGATACAATTGTTAGGGGGAATGATAAAATTTATCTTATCGCATCGAAACTCCCAAGTTTTTATAATGAAACTAGTATTATAGAAGAATGATGAAACCAACTACTCCATTTTATATTATATCAAAAAATTAATGTTTTAAAAAAAAAATTTGTAATATATTATTTATTTAAAAATGACATAATCTAGTGAAATCATATCTTTTAATTTGCTACGAATGAAATTATAGAAGCATTATATATTTCTATAAAAATTTGGCCCGAGTCTTTAAATAACACAAAATTATATGTAACATTTCTTTGCCCTTGACTGAATTGTCAAATTGTGATTTGTTCGAGCAATTGTTAAGCTACTAACGAATATAAGTTTTATTTGAAAGGACATAATGGGAGATTATATTACAAAAAGCATCTTTGTCGATACTATTTTATTTAATTTATGAATGAAAAATTCGTCGATTACCACCACCACCTCGACCTCCTCTAGGTGAGCCACGACCACCTCCACGACCCCCTCCACGACCACGACCACCTCCACGTTCACCTCCACGTCCTCCTCCACGTCCTCCTCTTTGATATCCTCCCCTCATATTCACTAATATATAGTTAATTTTATTTGTTAAAAGGAAGTTTTTATTGATGGCAATATAAACAAATATAATTTTAAATACTCACTGCCGCCGCCGCCGCCGCCGCCACGTCCTACAAACTTCTTCTTTGTAGCTATTATAAAATTCTATGTTTAAGATTTATTTAAATTATAAAAATCATTATTTGTAATCTTACCTGTTTTCGGAGCAGGTGGCTTAGGCAAAAATCTTTCTAATGGCAACAGCTTATCTTCACCAATATATACTTTATCGTTTGGTTTAAAAGATGTTGCAACTATGCCTTCCTGCAATTTGATTGTAAAATATACTTCATTCATTGGTCCAAGGATCTCATCAACTTTTCCTATTTGATTCTTATTCTCTAAATAAATTGGTGCATTAAAATATGGGATTTTGGAATTGACTGATTTGCATACCATATCGCCCTCGCATGCATGAAGAAATAAACCCATTTCTTACAAAAAAAAGAGAGGTATTATAAAACGTTAGAATAGCTTAAAATTACTTGAGTAATTTAATGATACTGCTCACCAGTAATTTTATCTGAAGATACCCGTTGCAATCCAAATTTTGAAAAGTTGGAACGACCAGCTGCAATTCAAAAAAAAAAGAGGTTATGATGAAAGCTCCAATTCTATTAAGATAAAAAATGAGTACTTACGTTTGTCTCTAAAGGCATTCCCAGGTCGAACGACAGCGAACCGATCTCGTCCCCCTCTCATTTATTCTATTCAATTACACGTTAAAGAGAATGAGTGTATATATATTTTATATGTATATCTCGAGAAATTTTGTCAAAGGGAAATCCGGATATCTTGCAAATTTCAGGGTTTTGGCTTGTATCTTATCGAGATTCTAATGACACTATGACCATGGGAGTGTAGGATAACGAATTTTGAAAAAATCCCCCTGTAATACATCATTTTCACCGGAATTTATATATGGGAAATTTGCTAGGAAAATTGGGCTTTGGAAATTTTTGACTAAAATTAAGACTATATTACATTTTAATCAATAAAAAACAAAATTTTGTTAAAAAATTCTTAGAGTCTTATTTTCTATATAAACTTTATATAAACTTTAATCTGAATTATATAGATAGAGAAAAAAAATTCTTTAGAACATGTCAGAAAATACATAAAACAAAAAAATTTTATTTTATTAGAAATCTTCAAATACCTTTTTAATAAAGACAATCATGCTTTTAACAAACTATTAAAATTACTCAAACCTTTTGTTAAAAGTAAAGATAAAGCTATTGCTAATTTTTTAGGATATAAACATCTTACTATTACTTTGAATATGACAAACAATATCTTTTTTCAGCTAAAATTCCTAAGTTTTAGTTCAAATAACTTGCACTTGTTCTTTTATTAACAATGAAATAAGGATAGAAGATTATAGTATAAAATTTATGTAAGAAATAATTTTCTCAATACAATGAAATATTACAAGAAAAGATAAATATTAACAATTCTTTATTCATCTTTTCTTTAATTTAATATATTAATAAGGATAATACAATTATATTAAAAGGATGTATTTCCTCCTTGATAAAAATATGAAATACAAAAAGATATCAATCAAGATCTCGTTCTCGTTCATAATAATAAATAACATAATATTTATTTAGCTTTAGAGTCTTCTTTTTTCTCTTCCTTTTTATCATTATTAAGTAATAAAAATGTAAACAAAAATAACAAATTAAAAATAACAACACATTAATTAAAAACATGTTAAAAGTTATTGATATAACTAATAATTCACATGTAAAAAAAAATAATAACAATATGTTTAATAACTAAACATATAATTTTCAAGTAAACATCAACAATAACATTTCATAAGATATAAATGATGTATTATAAGACTTTACTAATACTGCCTAATTACTTAGAAACTTAATACACATTGTCAAAATATACTTGAATAACAATAAACTTATATTGAAAGCTGATGATTTCAGATATCAGTTAAATAATAAGACTGTTCATTACCCTAAAACTTCTTTATCTACACACGTCTTCATCACTATCATATCAATTCTCATTTCTGATCAATCAAGAATTGATAAATTTAATTATATTGATGATATCATGAAATCCTTCTTTGGTTTCTTGAATATTGACTAACAATTTAGGAATGGTAATAATAATATAATTGTTAATTAGAAAATGCATGTTAACATTTAGCTTAATTGCATTTATTAAAGATAAATATAAATATATTATTAGAGTATTATACTAATTAATTAATCAAAACTATATCAGATATTACTATAATCAAAATTTTTGTTACATAAAACTTAAAATAAACTCAAAATTTTTTTCATAATCATTTACTATTAAAATAAACTTAAACTTCTTCTTTTTTTGTTAAAAAATATTTGTAAGAACTGTTATAAAATAACTATGTTAATTTTTTAAAAATGAGTTGAATATTCTTTCTTAAAAATATAATATTTACAAAATTTTAGATTTTTAAGGTCAAATCTTAAAATTTTTTTTATAAAATAAAATATTTAAACGTAATTTTATTTTTAAACTATATATAAATTTACTGTGAAAATTTAAAGGTTAATTGACATTTTAATAATATAGTAAATCATTTTAAAGATTACTAATTAGTATATAATATTATAATAGATAGAATGCCAAAAGTTCTAAAAGAAAAATTCAATCACACAGAGTAAGCCAAATTTCTATAAATATGAGAAGATTCATTTAACAAAAAAAAATATTAATTCTTAAAATTAACAAAGAACTTGTACAGATGAATGATAATAAATTGCTATTAATTTATCAAAATATTCTTCAATTAACTAATGATAGAATGGTATTCAATTTTACATATCATTAAGAATTAATTAAAATTAAAAAATTACTGGATGATCAATTAAAATCTACAAGTCATTTGATTAATAATATGTGATACTTTAAAGAATTATATCAGGATAATTTATTTTTACCATTTTTACAAAACAAAGCTTTAGATTTTGTAAATTTGATCCTTTACAAAACAGATCAAAGTTCAAGTTCATTAATTCAAAATAATAAAATACTTTAAAAGCAAATAATCAAATTAGAACATTTTAATATTAAAAAAAGTCACAAAGTTAAAAAACTAATAGGTATATTATCACAATATAAGTGAAAATATCATCAATAAATGTTAAAAGTTTGTGTTACAGCTCATAAGCTATTATTAGTTGATTCATAAACTTTCAAAGAAGCAATCAAAGTAATTATTATGAAAAATAAATCTCAATATACAGCTGAATTTATTGACAGGTTTCTCAAGTTGGCTAAATGTCATTTTAAAGTATTATTTAAGCTATACAAATAATTTTAGGATTTCTAACTAGAGAAAATTTATGAGATTAACAAAAAATTTTCATCATTTGTTTAATATTTTAGAAAATGCTTTTGATTTTCAGCTAATTAAAATAAAATATTTAGATAATTGTATTGGAAAATTTATTGTATACAGTCAACTCTTGATATAGCGAACTCTTGATATAATGAATTTTTTGAACAAATATAATAAAAATACTCTTG